CACAGCAAGAAGGGAACACGCCTTTCACGAAGTACAGAATTTGTATTGTGTGTATGCATCCATATTTCTGTGCTTTCATTTAAACAAAAGTTTTTCGGTATGCAAAGAAGAGGAATAAGCTGAGATTTAGTGAGAGGTAGAAAGTGGTACAATCTGAGTAATGATAAGTTACAAAGAAAGTACTAATGTACAGTGGTCAGTAGGATCACCCTAGCCGCAAGGGCCATTGCGATTGTATCGACTTGAGCAACCGCCACATTGCGTAAGTTCTGTAAGGTGCTCCCTGCAAACTTGTTAGATACAGCTTCCAGATTTCACACTCGGAATCTCAGAAGCTCCCATCAGGAAGCTCCAAAGGGAGACCGAAATGGGTTTTCGAGCTGCTAGCTTAGTTTCAAACATTAGTGGCTGTCGAGAACCAGTCGAGCGTGCACGTTTTAGACTCGTGTGCACGGAGAATTGGATGTCTGCGGATCTATCCCTTGCAAGTGAGCAGAGAAGCAACTTGCTGAGGCAACTGACAGAAATCCAATGAAAAGTTACAACTTTTTGCGAGGCAAAGATACAGCCAATTTCAAATATACAACTAGGTGTGCGCCTGAAGACTTTCTTCACTAGTACAGTAAAATTGATAACAATATGAAAAAATAAGCAGTTACTTTGGTACGACAGGAGCCTTCCCTGATGGCAGCCGATGGGCGCATCTTCCAGTTTGACAGAAGGAACCCACAGACCTAAAGCTTTCAATTCTGATTGGCCTATAGCTGGTCAGCGGCCTGCATCTGCTGTTGGACCGTAGCCGGTTCGCGGAGTATCCGGCAGCTCAGTATCCGCCGATTTTCTCAATCTACTCGCCTCCGGAGTTCCCCTTGGGGATAGTGCTTGTCTGATCGCATCCTGAACTTGACTTGTTAGGACTCGAGAGGTTACTACTGCTTCCTGGTGTGTCCCTGAAGTATTGCAAATGTTGAGGTGATTTGCGTGGACAGATTTCATGAAAGCGCATGCATGCGCCTTAATGAGTTTGTCAGCTAGAGACGCCCCGCTGTCCAAAAAGACTTCTCATCCAATCCCACCTTCCATCATTCAATCCCCATCACTTTTGTCTACACTCGAACAATCCGACAGCTGTCGGTTAAGATAATAGTAACATTATCGTCCTGTTTCTTTGAAGTTGCGGAACAGCGCAGGGACCCTACGGTTTGATTTCTAATTTGATGCTCAAACTATCACCTCACCCCAAGTAATGTGATACTGATTTGCTTTACGCATGGTGTATGGGTGCCATGAATATCTACTCAGTTTGAAGCTGGTGCTCGTCCCACTGTGGGCAACTGCACACTTTACTCTTTTCTTCACCATAAAGCGTACAAACAAATCATGGTTGTACGGCAGCGAAGCATCAGTGTTGAACACTGATGTCATGCTGTCGATGGTTACGATGATGACTGCACTTTTCGCATACACGTCACTTTTAATGCTAATTACGAGTGGAAGTAAAACCATTCAAGCGAGCGAGAACTGAACAATATGCGCTTTTCTAAATCTTTATTGCTGTTTTTTTTTGCAGAAATGAGGGCTGCTGCTCCGATATGCTCGGCTGATGACCTCTCACGTTGGCAGCCTGACCCAGACACGCTATTGGAACTGACACCCCTCTTCAACTGCGATTATTTCTGGGATGGTATTATTCTAATGTTGAACTATCCAAGAAACTTGCAGATATTGGGCAGTGCAGAAAGGCTACACGGAGCACTTCTCGCATACTTTACTGCCATGACATGGCTGGAAATTATCTTGAGGCGGACAAAAACTATGGGTTTACGTCTGTTTTTCCAGCTTTCCGGTTTACAAGATGGCACTTGATTGATATATTTGTTTACTTCAGCCACAACTTGGTCACTGTGCCTCCGTTGTCCTGGATCAATTTAGCTCACAGGTAATCCTTCACGTTTTTTTTGATAGTCTGGCACTGAGCTTGATATTTTTGTCTCGACCCCATTGCCCGTGACATCAAAAATTCATTGTTTTCGGTTCGTGTTTGACGAGAATGACCCTCGGCTCTTTCTGTATTCTTTACCACATGAGTGATCCTCCCACAGCGCCGAAGTTAACCCCATCCTAGTTTTCCGCATCCAAAAGCTACCGCAGAGTTTGAAATTGCTCAAACGCTAGGCATCATAAACGCTTTTTCCTAATCAATGGGGTTGGACTATCCGCTGTCGGCGCTGTGCAGAGCGGCGGTTCCACACTACAGACAAGTGTCTAGAGATCGGGACTGGTTAGCTGAGTATAAAAGTTGGCCGCGTTTAGACGAGATATGTCAGCAGTCATGGCACAAACTTACTGACCGGAAGACCCGTGGTTCAAAACCAATCCCGTCATCTCGACTGTTTCTGTCTTGGCTTGAGCGATTTGGTAGAACAACAGCCCTCGTGCTTTCCTTGGGTGGCATGACAGCTCGGCACTGAAATCCTGCTACGGCTGAACGACTGCATTTGGACGTACAACAGTCGCGGCACCTAGAATAGCTTGTCTTATCGGGGCTTGAGCCATCAATGTTGCTCCTGCCTGACCGAGTTCACGTAGTCCGGTCTGCTTGTTGTTTTCATAAAAAAAGTTACGGTAACCGTTGAATTCGAATTAAAGTTGTACAGCTGGTATAAACTGCATTGTGCGGGCGTAAAACTTCGGAACAGGAAACCCAATCACCTCGATTTTTGATAGTGCATCTGATTTGCCGTGAATATAAAAAAGCGAAGAAAAATTTGCGGGCTGTTTGGAAAACAAGCGATTTCATTATTTACTTGTTCTTGACTTTCAGGCAAGGAGTTCGGGTTTACGGCACTGTCATCTTTGAGAAAACGGACAGCTTTGATTTTAGATCAATATTTCGCGATGCCGAACCCAAAACGCTCAATCACCTTGAATTCGCAATGCATTTGAACAGGGTGCGTAAAACCCTATCTTTTGAGGGATGGCTGCTTAATTTTGAAGTGAATCTGCCTGAGGTAAGTGCATGTGGATTCGCTCGTGGTTGGAAATATCACTACCGTCGCTTCGTTTGACTACAATTCCTTGTGGATTTTAAATTAATTTCTCGGTGTACCTGGTTTGAAAAGCTTTCCCTGGAGATTCCCTATATCGGGAATTGAGACTCACAGGTGAAAACGGATTCTTGGGAACCCAGGCCTATCTCCCGTAACTACTAACCTCCACAGCGTTCAGAAAACATCCAACGGCCGTTCAAAGGTAACGCCTCAACGGTGTCTTAGGGTTTCGACCAACAGTATGCCCTTGACCAGACAATCTTGAAGTTACACTACCAATCCTCTACTAATTCTTAATGATCTATTCATCCACTCGTGACCGTTTTGTCGACTTGACAGCTATCCCGAAGGAGTGGAAAAATTACGGGCTTTTAATTGACCAAACAACTGGCCGTCTATGTAGTAGAAACTCAGCCGTCTTTTGGGGTTATCTGTCGTGCTCCCGTACGTATCACTAAGGCCATATGACAGCATTTTCTTGCTTTAATCTGCATTTTGTTCGCAAAAAAATGTCCGAGCCATTAAACTACCCTGGCCTAAACTGCAACCCGTTTGCGGCAGTCTAATCAAAAGCAATCTCGGGTTGGTTCTTGGTTTCCACCCAGGTTCCCACCCGAGATTCCTAATGAACAAATATGTTGTCTCGTCCAATTGCTCACTCGGATTTGTTCTTAGCCTTCTCATTTTTCAGCATTGCAAAACTTAGCATCCAAAAACTCCTCACCCTGGCTGTAGGGCCGTTCCATGTGCTATTCAGTCGATTTTCAGGTCCCCTATGACTCAAAGCTGTCTGAATAGGGCAATTTCAGACGTCCCCGATTTCTAACCTCGTTCCTCAGCTGACCGCGGACGAGCTTTGAATTGCGTGCCTTGGCAATTCGTCACAGTTGGCTCAACTGACGCATCAGACTGTAGTTAACTCCAACGGTGCTTCTTTTCCTAAGGCTCATACGTTTGGGATTCTGTGGTTCCATTTAATCCGATGGACCTCATCTGAACTGCGAGCGGGATCGGCAAAGAACATGAACATGCCGTCTTTACAGCCTTCGCTACCGTGCTTTGTACGTGCTTCCCAAGGCGGGGCCATATGTCTTGGTGGCTTTTGAATTTCGTGTCTTGATTTCATCGTCAAATATCACCCATTGATAGTGTGCTTCCAACACAGCAAAAATTTGTGCACCCGCTTCTCACAACCCAGTTACCAGAATGCGGGGTGTTTTATCCATGAACGTCTGGCCCTTAATATCACTGTGCACAGCTCGTGCCTTTTCAGCAGCACCGGACTCATGAGTCCGGTGCCATATTGTCTAATACGCCGGCAGTTACAGACAACCGTTTGGCAATCTGAGTATGCGATCTTTAGTACCAATATTTTCGAACTAGTGCTTCCTCCGATGTCGGCAGCACCAGTGCTTGCATGAATATGCTTCTCCCCTGGGAGGAACGCTGTCATCATCATCGTCATCATTATCAGCTGTAAGAACCGCGTACCTATCCTTCAACGGTTGCAGCTTCCATAATTTCGTCCGCCGGTGATTTGGGGAGGTAGAGTAATTACCTTGCTATTGGGGGCGTGAGCTGATAAATTGTTGCGTAATTACAGGTTTGTCAGTTGACTTTTGAGTGAGAAGATTGAGAAGGGAGCTATTTATTGAAGGTAATAGCTCAGATGCTGGAGTACCATTGAGGGTGAGACTGGGTCCTAATAATGTGGCCTGTCTCGGGTTCTCCATCCAGGCAGATGACAATGACCAGCGCAGCTGAGTTTGCTGGTAATGGCTTTCACACTTCTCTGCCAAGTCATTGTTTGACCGCCTCTGGCTCGTTTTCACCCTTCCCGTGGTTCTGCAAAAAGAGCCTTTCGGGGAAGTCGGTCGACTGGCATGCGGAATATGGGGCCAAGCCAACACAACCTGCTTTCGGGGAAGTCGGTCGACTGGCATGCGAATTATGGGGCCAAGCCAGCATATTCTATGCAGTGTTGTCAGTTCATCTACCGTAGTCAACCTGTTTCTTTCAACTTTCAACATTGTTGATAATGCGGTGTTCCCATTAGACTCGGGCAATGCTCCGAAGACATTGATGGTCAAACACTTCCGCGGCGTGCAGCAGCTACGTTTCTGACCCGTATAGCAACATGGATCGCACCGCAACATTGTAAACTCGACCCTTGACGGGTGAGTTGATGTCACGCCTACACCATAGGTGACGCAACTTCACGAAAGCTGCTCCGGCCTTCTCATTACCGGTGGAAATGTCATCTTTCGTGTGACCACCAGGACTGATACAACTGCTCAGGTAGACAAACTTATCTACCTGATCCGCAAGCATGAGGCTAGGGTCCAAGTCTAGCCGGTTTTGCAGTAGCGCTTTAGAGTTTGCCAGTATGAAGCGCATGCCAAACCGTCGTCTGCGTACTCAATTTCTGTGAGCGAACGCCCTGGGGTCACTTCAACTCTACGGGCATTAGAGACTGATAGTGAGTCTTCCATGTTCGTATCGATGACAAAGTTGAAGAGGAAAGGTGAAAGAAGACAGTCCTGTCTGACATCACGTGATGCGGTGAATTCAGAAGAGAGCTTTCCGTAGACCTTCACACGGCCGCGGGAGTTGGCCTACAGCGCCTTAAAGAGGGTCAAGAATTTATGGGGGACACCTTTGCCCCATAGACACTCCCTTAGTGCCTGACAATCCGCAGAGACAAAAGCAGCTTCTGGGTCAAGGAACACAACCATCGTTGGTTGATGAAAGCATTGTCGCTGTCCCAGAATCTGCCGGAGGGTGAAGATGTGATCGGCGCATCCTCTATCAGGACGAAACCCAGCTTGTTTTTCACAAGTCCACCTCTCCCTGTTTTCAGTCAACCGTCGAAAGATGAGGCCGGAGAGCACTTTCGATGCTGCAGCTACCAGGTCGATGCCATGGTGGTTGTCACACAGCGTCCACCTACCCTTTTTGAGGATGAGAATGAATCTCGATATTTTCCATTCTGCAGACACTTTGTTTTCAGTCCACACCGCACCAATAAGCTTTGTCAGATGCGTCACCAGGGATCTTCCGCCTTCTTTGAAGAGGGATGGGTACAGGCCGTTCGGTTCGGTTCCGGTGCCTTCCCAAGTTTCAGTACGGACACTTCGTACTTTATCTCTTCTTCCGACGGGCGATTAAGGTTTACATTCCATTCGCCCGTATGCACTACCTTCACAGGATAGGTTGCAGGAGGCCAACTAAACTGTTCTTCGAAGTGTTTGGCCCATTTTCCAGTCGACGTTTTTGGGAGTGAACTAATGAACCATCTCTTCACTTATCGTTTCACTGACCGTTGCTTTCCTAGAGCCAGTCGATCGTATCAGTTGATGTAGGGCACGGCTGTTTCCCGTAGCAAAAGCCTTCTTCATCGCTCTAGCTCTCGATGTCCAAGAATTCCCAGTCTTTCCTTAGACTCTTGACTATTTGGCGTTTGAAGGATTCACATGCGCCGTCGTACTTGTCGCCTGCTGCTATGGATTTTCTGACGATCATAGATAGCGATCTCGACGATATCCAGTGCCAAAGGATTTGGTTGATAACCCTAATCGTCCTCCGGTCTAGATGTGTGGGCGCCCTGACAGTATCCCAGCCCACATTCAACCAGGATTACGGCAGCGGAGCATTGGTGTTGAACAGTGATGTCGTACTGTTGAGGATGGTGACTTGCGAGGGCCCGAGAGTACACGAACCGTTAGGCGTGATCAGAATCAAGTTGTATGCCCCAGGAGGAACGGCAGTCTTGAATTGTGGCTCTTCACTGGTGGCTGATGACCACTGGGTCCACGGTTGACTTGCAGTTGGCAGCCACCAGGTTACGCGATCTGAACGCTCATGCTGATAGTTTGCACTGGCTAGAAACAGCTCACGAACAGCACACAACTGGAAGAGTGGCTCTCTGTAGTCTGTGCGACGAGCAACAACTCCGAATCAACCGCCCAAATGTGATTCCAAGGAGCTCAGACGACGGACTTGTGCATTGATATTGTTCGCAAGTATCACAATGTCAGTGCTTCTTGCTTGGCGATTGAGTCCGGATAACTCTCAGCATCAGAACTGCAGTCCATTGGGGCACAAGCCGACACTACAAACAGGCACTGTTTTTTATGTTGGGAAACAGCATGATTAAACTGGATACCCGGACGGCGCAAAGACGACTGTTCACTGGGATCCATTCCAGCAAAGGGCGTTCAGCTCTGGGGCTCAGTGAAACTCCCCCACCATATATTCCACGAGTCATCGCTTCTGGATCACTGGACACGGAAGAAAAACTGTAAAAGAGCTGAGTTCGTCCTTAGCGTACTGAGATGTATAGCCACGCTTGGATCTTGCATGTGTGTTTCAGAGACAGCATACATCAATTTTAAGGGAGTACAAGGTTTCGGCGAGCGTTGAATGTTTGCAGGTTTGATATACAGTACGGACGTTAAAAGTAAGTATCTCGTGGATTTTGAAAGGTGTCAATAGGCAGTGATAAGCATAAGGCCCTTCAGGTAGCTGACAGTCAAATGGCCCAGCAACGTTTGCTTGTGGTGGAAAGGGTTTGGGAAGGACATCTTTGGACATAGAACTGTACGGTTGCCAAGGCCGAGGAAGGGGGTTGGTTGAGGTACCCCACCGTGAGCATTTAGCTCGGAAACCTGATTCACAAGGCAGTGGGAAGATGTAGGGTTTCCTTCGGAGGCCCCGCCCCTAGCCGCTGACTCAAAAGTCTGGCGCGAGAGACAGCAAAAAATAGGTTTTTTTGGGTACCCTACCCGAAGCCGGTGACTCAGTAGCCTGACCCGATCGACTGTAGGGGGTTGGCCTAACCCGAGGGCGCAGGGGATAAGGCATTACTTTATGCAGCTGCGAACAGCAAGTGCCTTTTGGATAACACCAGACCCTTTGGTTTTAAAAGTATTTGGACCGTGTTGAATAATGCGCAGGCGGTCACGGCCAACCGTTGGGCCATCGGAGTGTGCGGTTTTGGGGGCTGACCTTTTCTAACCCATCCTTCATTGGAGGAAGGCGGCACTGCTGCTTCCATAGATATGAGTGTGCTGATCGCTTGAGGGAAACACCTTATACCTATCGCAGGGGACAATACGACTTCACCCTCAGACCGCCTTGTGGCACGATTATTCGTTGTGCAGGGTCACGCTGCTCTTGGTCTGATTGCTCCTCTTTGGCCTTCTTGGCTGGGTGCACTTTGTGGTACGAAGTTCCGGCCATTACAACACTCACCACCACGTCAAGGCGGCAGCTTTAAGTCGGAGAAAACGCCCTAATGTTCTCACGTTCCTGAAGAAAAAAGCAGTACAACTTGATCCCCAGAATGCCTTCTAATAAGGTCTCTCTTAGTACGCGAACTTGCTGCTCTTTGTCGGACTGCTTACCCTTGATCATCTCGGAAGTGAGTTCCAGCCAGGGTATCACGGGGAATTCTAGCCTGAATTCCAACCACCATGTCAATGTAGCAGGTTCGGGTCGGCGTTGTTGCAAGCTCGCTGTATTGTCTGACGAAAATGTGACTTAAGGAGCCTTTACCAACCAATTTCGTCAAAGCACATAGTTGATCGCAACGCTCGATCCATCCTAGGTTTCTGTGCTGCATGACGTGTCAGATTTTTTGAAACTGTTGCACTTTAACTACTCATGAGTGGGCAAACTTAATTGCATAAAATGAATGCTAGCTCTGAATCACCCAGTCGATTGCCTTAACAACCCTGACTATATTTGTAATGTACTACTCATAAGGTTGCTGAAAATCCATCGACAGCCCACGACCGGTTTTGCCCTTCCAGTTCGGGCTCATCAGGTAGGCGCAGTCCCCG